GCCACCGTGGTTGCTGGGCCCCAAGGCTGTTTTGCTGGCTGTGGGGAGTCCCTGGGGGTGTAATTACCTAGGCAGGTTGTTCAAGGCAACAGGTTGTGTCTGTGTGTGTGTGTGTGTGTGTGTGTGTGTGTGTGTGGACATGAACTGCCGCCACCTGCAGGCTTTCAGGGGGGGCTCCCCATCCCCTGCAGGTCAATCCAGCCAAAGCTTTGGTGGGAGAGGTTCAGGAGGGAGGGGAGTGGCCTGGAGATCAAGTAGATCCTTTGGAAGGGGGCAGGGAGGAGCCCCAAAGCTCCCCGGGGCTTTCCTGGCTGCTGGGGGAGAGGAAGGGCCTGCAGGGGTCCTTCACTCCCAGGTTTTCAGCCGCCTCTCAACTGATGTCCAGGGCTGCACCCAAGGGAGTGCTGAGGGGAGCAACAGCTTCGGCCCCTCCCTCAATGGAAAACAGGGCATGTTAAACCTCGTGGGCTCCAACTCTTTAAGGTTGCCTGAAGAGAGGGACTCCCCTGGATGTCTTTCCCCGAGGGCGGAGGGGGCTTAGAGCCCTCTTCCAAGGGAGGGGGAAATGCCTGAGACACCCCCTCCCCTCCCTGCTGCAGGGAGGGGGTCCTCTTCCAAAGGTGATCCTGAGCGTAGACTTGCACTGAACACAGGGTCAAGATCTGTGATCCTTTTGACCAGCCACGGCCAGCTAAGACCCTCCAGGCCCCCTACCCACAAAATGGACTCTTCTCCAGTTGGCCTCTGCTCAAGAGGCGTCCTGGGAGACTTGGAGTCAGGTTCTCGGTTAGGCCAGTAGGGGGCAGCAGACGCCCAGAGCCCTGCTAAGAGTCCTGAGCAGATGAATGTATGGCAGAGGAAAGGCTGGGGAATGCTGGGAGTTGAAGTCCACAAGTCAGGTTGCCAGGTTTGAAGTCCTCTGGTGTAGGGTAGCCCCGAATCAGGTGAAGCCCCATCTTTCCAGACATAGCAGCTTCCATCTGCTGCAGGGAGGGGGCTCAGCGGCTGGGCCACTTGGAAGGTCCGGGCTGCTTAAGAGCGGAGCTCCGATTCCCCCCCACACACACACCCGCCCAGCCTCCATCTACACATGGACACACTTACACACACATCGCTGCCTACCTGCGCAGGGCAGGGACGAATCGTGTTCCGGCTACCATGAAGGGCTACTTCCCATCCCATCAGCTGATTAAATCTTCGGCATCCACCAAAGAGCCGAATTCAGGGCCGAATCAAGAGACGCACTTAATTTTTCCCCATGCGAGAAGCCAAATGTCACGGAAGGGGAATTCGCATCCCTCCTCCCTCATCAGCTGACCAGGATTTTTCAGCCCAATTTACTTTTTCAGGAGGCCAAACCACAAGATGGAGCAGCAGCCCCAACACACCACGTGGGGGGGGGAGGGGAGGCCCCAGTAAATTCCAGCCTTGGGGCACAAACGGGGGTATCCTTCTGGGTGGGGCACCTTTTGAACAGTCCTGAAGCTATTCCTCTCCCCCCCCCCATTTTGAAGATCCACAATGACCCCCAGGTCCTTCAGGCTGCAGGGAGGCCATTATCCCAGGGTCCTGGGCATCTCTTCTGCCAGGACTCAATGAGGGAGGAGCGGCTGGGGGTGGGCACCAGGACAGGCTCTGCCTGGGCACAGCAGCTCATCGGAGTTTGTGGGCAACAAGGGCTCCCTTGGACCACTTGCTCCGCACTCTCCAAAGTAGAGCAGCTGCCACCTGCCCACCCCGGGGGCTTCGCTTCAGCCAACCAAGGGGGACTGTGTGGTGGCAAACTCCTGGTGTCTTCCGGGGGGGGGGGGGGGGGACAGCTCCTCACTTGTCAGTTCTTGGATCTCCAAATTGCTGCCAGCGGTAGGACTAGGCTCCAGGCCAGCAGAGGGACAGGGGTCTCTGAGCATAGTCAGAGTGCCTTGCCTTTTCTTGTTGAGGATTTTAAGGCACCCTAAAGAGCCGAGACTAGAAGACCTCCAAGGTCCCTTCCAGCTGTTCCGAATTGAATGGAAAACCTCTGGCTCATCTTCCTGGCCCATTCAGGGGGGAGCCCAGTTCCAGGCAGATCAGGGCTGGGCTGAAGCTTCTCTGCTGGGATGTCCCTCCAGCCGGCCTTGCGTCTCATGCCAAAGCGGCTCCTTTGGCCGAGGGAGTGGCATGGCGTGGGCTCCTGTTTTGCCACCCAGGAGCATGATGGGAAATGCGGCGGGTTCTTTCAAGCAACTCTGCCTGGAACTACAGTTCCCAGGATTCAACAGGGCAGCAATGGCCTGCCTGGCCCAGGATTTGGAAAAGGCCCTTTGCTGCTGCTCTGTGCCACCAACTAGGCCTGTGCCCCCTGGGGAGTGCTTGCAGCCTTCTGCCCCCCTGAAGAACGGCCCCTGGCCCCAGCCCAGCTGCTCCTGGCTCCCCTGTGCGCTGGGCCTTGGCCCCCAGATCAAGGATGTCGCCCTTTGGGGAAGCAAGGCTTCTTCCTACCCCCCCCCCCCCCCCCCCCCCCAGCCTGTGCTTTGAACCAGGCCACAGCCGGGAGCTGCCCTGTGATTTCCCTGCCTCCACTTCCCACGGCGTTTAACACACACCCATCTACTGGGTGGAGTTCAAGGCGGCGTCCCCTCTGGACTGGGGATCCTCCAGAGGGCTTTGAACTTTTATTTAGCTTTCCAACAGAATCATGCAACAGAGTCCATACACAGGAGAGGATGCCAGCAAGCCAGAACAAAGTGTAAATCCTCAGCTAGATCAAAACTGCGGAGGTTTCCGCTAGAAAACAAAGTGGATCCAAGCCAGGCTTTCAAACCCCGGAGGAAGCTTTCCCAAAGCCCCCCCCACCCCCCAATTCCAAGAACTCTGCATCGCCCCCTCCTCAATTTGACCA